AACATATATATATACACAGTACTGTTGAAAAGTTGTAGACAAATATAAAATAGTTTTTTTTTATCGATTACCAAAATGAAAAGTAAATGAACAGAAGAGAAATCCAAATCAATATTTGGTGTGACCCCCCCTTTGGCTTCAAACCAGCATCAGTTCTTCTAGGTACACTTACTCACTGTGTCTGCAGGCAACAGTGAAGCATGGTGGAGGTTCCTTGCAAGTTTGGGGCTGCATTTCTGCAAATGGAGTTGGAGATTTGGTCAGGATCAATGGTGTCCTCAATGCTGATAAATACAGACAGATACTTATCCATCATGTCATACCATCAGGGAGATGTGTGATAGACCCTGAATTGATTCTGCAGCAGGACAATGACCCCAAACATACAGCCAATGTTATTAGCAAAAATCTTCAGTGTAAAGAAGGAGTCCTGGCCTGGAAGTGATGGTTTGGCCCCCACAGAGCTCCAATCTCAACATCATCAAGTCTGCCTGGGATTACATAAAGAGACAGAAGGATTTGAGTCAGCCTACATCCACCGAAGATCTGTGCTTAGTTCTCCAAGATGTTTCGAACAACCTACCTGCTGAGTTACTTCAAAAACTAAAAAACTGTGCATGTGTACCTAGAAGATTTGATGCTGGTTTGAAGCCAAAGTATGGCCACACCAAATATTGATTTGATTTGGATTTCTCTTCTGTTCATTTACTTTCCATTTTGTTAATTGATAAAAATAAACTATTTACACATCTATTTCTAAAAACATTCAGAATTTACAGCATTTTTTCACAACTGCTTATAACTTTTGCTCAGTACTGTATATCAAATTAACAAAAATATAGCATATAACGTACATACAATGGCTACAAAAACATATTTAATGTTGTTAACCGCTTGGCGCGGGCCGAAAAACGCGGCCTCCCGATGTCTGGGCCCAGACGCCGAGCTGCCGCACATTTGCGTTCTATTAAAAAAAAAAAGACATGTGCTGAGAGCGCACTCTCTGCGCGCTCCCAGCGCGCTCCCAGCACACATGTCTGGTACTCACGGAAAGGTCCCAATCTTCTCTTTCGATCGGGACCTTTCCTGATCATGTGACCACCGTGACGTCATGTCACATGACTCTAAACCCCGCCCGCCTCCCGGCTTCTGAAACCCTTAAAGGGCCGGGAGGCTCCGGAGCCAAGGGGTTAAGAATTACTTTTCATTCTGCAGCCATTGTAATTTTAAGTAAAATTCAGTGCATTCAATATATCAGCATGGAGACCTTCTGTACACATTTGGTGCACAGAACTTCCCCAGAAATGTAATTTCCTGCTTGTGTGATTGGCTGACTGATTTTCCCAGAATTCTGCACTAAGATACAAGTCAGATTTTAGGCACCCCTGCAACAGAAATGTGATTTTGGTGAGATACTCCCAAAGAGTTAATCACTTCTAAAGGGATGCATATCCTGCAAGTTTTCTCAACAGAACCATGAACGTGCACCAGTTGATTAAAATGAATGGGCCACTCCCTTTCAGAATAAGTATCCAAAGAGACAAAGTGGAAAAAACAGATTTTTCTTCAGAGAAGAAACGTATGAATCTGCAACAAAGTTTGTTAAAATCATTACAATGTACATTGATAACTCAGAGATGATTGGGTTTTTTTTGTTTTTCTCAACAAAAGTGGAGTTACTCTTTGACATCAGCAAAGTGTATGGAAACTCTGCAGATATTAGTACCCACAGTACAGAACTACTAATGCTGGGTTCATGTCAGGCAATCCAGAAAGCTGATGGATCTACTCAGTTGCAGCTGGCAGGTAATTACATTCACATTCCCTTTCCCCACCGACCTTACCAGCCTAGCAAACACCTTATTCTCAGACCATAATTTTGAGTTTAGTTTTGCTTTTAGTTGCCTACTGACAGGCCACCAACACAAATGTATTCATTTTTATTGTGTACAGGTATGCTTTAAATATATTATGTGTTTTTTGTGTGGGTTTGAATTATTATATTTGTTTTGTGTAATATTATTTGACCATCATCTTAAAGAGGAAGTTGTATATGAAAAATGCTCAGTGGATTTAAAACATGATACAGAAGTTTAAATATTAATACTGTAATTTGCGTGGATATTTTTGTATGTTAGAGAAATGCTTAAAAAATTGGCAATGCAAATATTTTACCATTAAAATGTGTTGTTTTTTATTTTTTCTGTGAATTACTTTGAAAATTGCAAAAAATCTCAGATAAGCTGTCAGCAGTGAACATCTGACTGTCTTTGGTCCAGAGACAAGTCAGGAATGAGTAGTCAGGGCATGATTGCACCATTTAGGCCTCATGGACATGGGGCGTTTGCCCACCTCTACCAAATGCCTTTCCAAAGCATTTTGGCAAGAAGAAACACTTTTAAATGTGTTAAATACTTGGGCGTTAATTCATGTAATCATAACCAAAAGGTCGAGTATCTGGCTGCTCGTCCCAGAATGAATACATGTACCAAAAGACCCCCCAGTGGGACTTTATTGCAGCAATGAGATATTACACATATATCCAAGAGAACATTTTTGTAAAAGAATTATCAGCTGGACCTGGATCCATGTGTCTCATTCCAGATGTCATTCATTCTATAATTGCTCTAACATATGTTTTCATAAGTATTATCCTTAATTATGAGAAAAAAATTCCACTGAACAATTGTTTATTTTTGGTATATTCACCTGTTATTGTTTACCAGACACTTTCCTTGTCTTTATGGCCCCTGAAGAAGATTTAAAATATGGAATGATTGAAACGTGTCAGAATAATTTTTTCCTTCCTTCCTGAGTGGCCTTTGACCTTGTGAAGAAAGTATTTTTGTAAGAATATTGTTGGAGTGATGTTCCTTTAACCACTTGAGCTCCAGAGGATTTACCCCCCTTAATGACCAGGCCTCTTTTTGCTACTCGGCGCTGCACTAATTCAACTGATAATTGCGCGGTCATGCAATGCTGCACCCAAACGAAATTTACGTCCTTTTTTTCACACAAATAGAGCTTTCTTTTGGTGGTATTTGATCATCTGTGCGCTTTTTATTTTTCACGCTATAAACATAAAAAGGCCAAAAATTTTGAAGAAAAACAATATTTTTTTACTTTCAACTATAAAAAATATATAGTAAACTCAAAGTTGGTTATAAATTTAGGCCAAAATGTATTCTGCTACATGTTTTTGGTAAAAAAAAATCCCAATGAGTGTATATTGATTGCTTTATGTAGAAGTTATAGCGTTTACAAACTATGGTATAAATACTGCAACTTACGGCATTTTTCTGCTATACAGCGCTGCGCTAGTTTAACGGACAATTGCGCGGTCATGCAATACGGTACATAAATGAAATTTACATCCTTTTTTCCCCACAAATTGGGATTTCTTTTGGTGGTATTTGATCGCCTGTGCGGTTTTTATTTTTTGCGCTATAAAAAAAAAGGCTGACAATTTTGAGGAAAAAAAAACAATATTTTGGACTTTTTGCTATAAAACATGTCCAGTAAAAAAAATGCAAAAATCTAATTTAGTCATAAATTTCTGCCAAAATGCATTCTGCGACATGTCTTTGCTAAAAAAAACAACCCAATACGTGTAAATTAATTGGTTTACGTGAAAGTTATAGCGTTTACAAATGGCGGGAAAGATACTGGGATTTTTAGTTTTTTTTTATACTAATAATGGCGGCGATCAGCGAATTATGGCGGCGATCAGGGACTTATGGCGGGACTGCGGCGGACATTCTGACATTGGGGGGTACTGACTTGGGGTCACTGACATCCCCAAAAACACTAATACAGTGATCAGTGCAAAAAAAAAAACTGACACTGTACTAATGGCACTGGGGAGGAAGGGGTTAACTTTATTTTGCAGGGAAGGGTTATAGGAGTGAGGGGAGTGTTTTACTAGGGGGCGGGGCGGGGTGTGTACTGGGCGGGACAAGGCTGATCGAGAAGGAGAAACTGTTCTTTCTCGATCAGCTCATCCTCGAGCTGACAGGGAAGTGACAGACAGCACAGCTACTGTAGCTGTGCTGTCTGTCACTGTTTGCCACCGATCGCCGCAACATAGCCGCTAATGAGCGGCTGTGACTCGGCGACTGACATCTGCGGCGGTGATCCGCGGGACAGATAAGGCGGCGGCGTGCCTCCCTCGCGCGTGCCCCCTATTTGTTTACAAAACACACGCCTTAAAATGTGGTTTTGCCTGCGAGTGCCGCCCTGCCGCCGTATATGTACAGTGGCTGGGCGGCATGTAGTTAAAATGTATGTATTTTATACAAAATATGAGTATGTAATAAAGCTGATAATTCTTTTACAAAAATGTTCTCTCTTGGATATACGTGTAATATCTCACTGCTGCACTAAAGTCCCACTGGGGGGGGGGGTCTTTTGGTACATTAATTCATGTGATGGGCTAGAATAATAATTTATTCTGGCCATTGAAATGAGTTAATGCTCAAGTGTTTGACGCATCAAGCATTAACATGTGTTCAGATGCATCAAGCAATTTTTTCTGCCAAAATGCTGCTGCTGGATGTGCTGCAAGTGGTTTTTTTTTGCCTCTAAACACTTATATTTGTATGAACACAGGCAAACATGGAATTATTTTAACAGGTTCTAAGGCTAATTTAACGCAGATAAGACACTAAGTGAGTTTAATTAGCCACAGAACCTGTGTAATTAATATGTGTTCAGTTTTAAAGGGATGAGGTGGCAACCCTTCCTTACATGGGTCCAGTGTGTCAAGGCATCATGGAAAAGATTGCTGAGGCAGCTGCCATATTTTGGTTCATATACCTTATGCCTCTGTAAGGCAGTCATGGGTGTAACTGTTTTCTATCTTGAATACTTGTAGCAATAATTCTGAAATGGTACAGTTCATCCCATATAAATGACTGTTTTACTTAACCGCTTTAGCTCCACCCCATAGCAGAAATACTGCTATAGGGCGGCAGCTGTGTGCAAAATCACTTATATATACGTGATTTTGCATTTCTGGGTAGGGGGAGCACGTTCGCCCTACCCACGCCACCATTCACAGCCACGGCTGTCAATCACTGTCCGGTGATTGCCGAGGATCTCCGAAGGGGGGGGAGAACTGTTCGTAAATAAAACAGTTCTCCTCCCTGTCAGCTCCTGCACACTGCTTTGCATGGCTCTGGACAGCACAGCCATGCAAAGCAGTGTGCTTACAGCGAAGCACACACACACAGAACAAGATGTAAAATGGCACACAGTTAACCATTTGATCGCCCCACATGTTAACCCCTTCCTGCCCAGTGCCATTAGTACAGTGTCAGTGCTTTTTATTAGCACTGATCACTGTATTGGTGTCACTGGGGATGTCAGAGACACCAAGTCAATCCCCCCCCCCAGCAGTCCCGGTATAAGTCGCTGACCGCCACCATTACTAGTAAAAAATTTTAAAAAATCCCAGTATCTATACCGCCATTTGTAAATGCTATAACTTTCATGTAAACCAATTAATTTACACGTATTGCGATTTTTTGTAGCAAAGACATTTATTTATTTATTATAGGTACTTATATAGCGCTGTCAATTTAATCAGCTCTTTACATATATATTGTACAATCACATCAGTCCCTAACCCTCAAGGGGTGTACAGTCTAAGGTCCCTAACTCACATTCATACATACACATACTAGGGCCAATTTAGACAGGATCCAATTAACCTACCAGCATGTCTTTGGAGTGTTGGAGGAAACCAGAGTACCCGGAGGAAACCCGCACAGGCAGAACATGCAAACTCCAGGCAGGTAGTGCTGTGGCTGGGATTTGAACCAACGACCCTAGCACTGCCAGGCGGAAGTGCTAACCATTTAGCCATTGTGCTACCCACACATCGCCGCATACATTTTAGCCTAAATTTATGATGGAATTTAATTTTTAAACTTTTTTCACTGCGAAATGCGACTTTTAATAGCAAAAAGTCAAAAATATTGTTTTTTTTCTCAAAAATTGTCGGCCTTTTTTTTCATAGTGCAAAAAATTAAAAACGCACAGGCAATCAAATACCAGCGAAAGAAAGCTCTATTTGTGGGAAAAAAGGACATAAATTTCATGTGGGTGCAGCGTTGCATGACTGTGCAATTGTCAGTTAAAGTAACGCAGCGCCATAACACAAGAAATGGCCTGGTCAGGAAGGGGGGTAAATCCTCTGGAGGACAAGTGGTTAAAGCTGCATTTTTCTTTCCTTTTAACATTTGATTTGAGGGGAGTTGGTAATATTTTGCGCATTGATGCAAGCTTTTTTTTTTAATGTACCAAATAGTTCAATTTTGATCTAAAAGACTGACAGTCTGCACTAATTATAAATAATTAACGGTACAGACATAGCATTGGCAATATTTGGTGCAATAGAGGTGTGTGTGGTAGGATGATGGGTCATGACACTTAACTATGAAATCCTGCTGATCCTGTAGGACAATAACATCACCCGCCACCACCAGCTCAGAGAATGAGGATGCAGACAGAACTTTGTGATCATGTGATTGCATAGAAACGCTTTAAAGAAAGGTATTTAGATTGCGATTTATTAAAAAATACATGCAGGGAATAGCAGAGCAATGGGGAGGCACCATTTTAAATTTGGGTTATTGTGTAGGCTTTTCATCTACTTTAACTCCAATCACTATACACAATACAAGGAAACATCAGTATGGAACGGCAGGATCCCAGTCAGTAAAGGAATGGTTTTCCAAAGGGTCAATCCATATATCAGTTTTCAGTAGATTCTATAGAGTTAAGGTGGCTCTAAAGCAGCGGTCACTAAATGGTGGACCACAGTCCGCGAACGGCCCTGCCAGCGCTGCCGTCCGGACTGCCAGCCCGCAATGACAGATCCACTGCTGAGCAGGGCAGTCATCACACCTACATGACATCACGTGTGTGCCCTGTGTCTTTCAGCTCACTGTCTCTCCGACTCCTGCACCCTGTCTGTACACCAGCATCCAGCAATGATCCTGCACAGCTCCTGTCTGCCCTCAAGGTAGGCTGTAGTCTTACAGGGGCATGCTGATGGGCACATTTTATGTTAAGGGGCACTCTGATGGGCACATTGAATGTTAAGGGGCACTCTGATGGGTACATACTATGTTGTGCCCATCAGAGTGCCCCTTTACATCCAATGTGCCCATCAGAGTGCACCTTAACATTAAATGTGCCTATCAGAGTACCCCTTAATTTAAAATAAGGGGCACGTGGATGGGCACATTTTATGTTAAGGTGCACTCTGATGGGCACATTGGATGTAAAGGGGCACTCTGATGGGCACAACATAGTATGTACCCATCAGAGTGCCCCTTAACATTCAATGTGCCCATCAGAGTGCCCCTTAACATAAAATGTGCCCATCAGCATGCCCCTTATTTTAAGTTAAGGGGCACTCTGAAGGGCACATTTAATGTTAAGGGGCACTCTGAAGGGCATATTGAATGTTAAGGGGCACTCTGATTGGCATAGAATGTGCTCATCAGAGTGCCCCTTAACATAAAATGTATCCATCAGAGTGCCCCTTAATATAAATGTGCCCATCAGCATGCTCCTTATTTTATGTTAAGGGGCACTCTGAGGGGCCCATTTTATGTTAAGGGGGCACAAATAGGCACATACTGTGTAAAAGGGCACTCTGATTGGCACGTGATAGAAAGGGGCACTCTGATGGGGAATATGTTGTAAAGGGGCACTCTGTTGGGAGATATATGATAGAAAGGGGTACTTTGAGTGTAAGGGGGCACTCTGACGGGAATATCTGATGTAAGGTGGCAATGTGATGGGGATACCTGATTTAAAGGGGCACCCTGATGGGGACAACTGATGTGATGGGAATACATGATGTAAAGTTGCACTCTGTTGGCGACACCTAATGTAAGGAGGCACACTGATGGTCACACCCTATTCGGACCTCGGCCAGAAGAAAACTTTAGTGACCAGACCTCCTTGAATTTTAATTCAATAGCCCTCTCTAAAGCCTAAACTTTTTTTTTTTTTTTACTTTACTGCATTAAGGTAAAAAAATGTTTAAGCATATTGCTCCCCCCCCCATACTCACCCTCACTTGATCTAGTGCTGTGCCCATCTTTAGCATCTCTCACAGGCTTTGCTGATGTAGTGGGAGCCATTGACTGTCAGTGAAATCCTGTGATGAAGGAGCAATGCCAAGCCACACTGTCTGTGTCTATGGATGCAGGAGTGCCACCATAGAAGTGGCTTCCTATGTTGGTACACCAAGAAGAGAAGGAGCCAGGAGCACAGGTGGTGGATACCAGAAGAGGCACAGAGCAGGTATGTATAATGCTTGTTAAAAAAAAAAATAACGAGGTGTCTGTGCTTGACTTCCTATGTTTGTTTAGCTGCTGGGGCCATTATTAGGGGAGGTGGGGTGGGGGATCCCACACCTACATTTCTTTTATGGAGAATGCAGCAAGGGATGCTGGGCTTAGATATACTTTAACAGCGAGAATCGTTAACAAAGCCAAAATCAGTAGCTTAAATAAAGGCTGACATTAGTTTTTATAACCATCCCCGATCACCTGATAGTGTTTTGTTCCACCTTTTGTTTAATCCGAGTATATGGTTACATATTCCAATACACACAACATCAAATGGTTCTTTAGGTAAAAGCCCTGAACTTAATCCTATAGATATGTTGTAGAAGGACCTAAGAAAGGCAGTTCGGACCATCAACATTCCTGAGTTATGCAGGCCATAGATGGGTCGAAAATCGGCCGATTTGTCGGCCGAAAATAAAATCGGCCGATTTTCGGATCGTTAGTGGGCGATTTGGTCGGCCGTTTTTCGGGATTTTGGGCGTTTTTTTTTTTTTGGTAAAGTTGGAAAAAAATCGGCCGATCGGCCGATTTTCGCGGCATTAATGGGCCAATCGGCCGATTTTTTACCGATAAAAAATCTGCGCATGAGCAGTGACCTGCAAGAGGAAGACAAAAAGAAGAAAAAGAAGAAGAGGATGAAGAAGAGGATGAGAAGATGAAGAAGATGATGAGGATGAAGAAGAGATGAGGAAGATGAGATGAATGATGAGGATGAGAGAAGAGGAGAGGATGAAGAAGATGAAGAAGAGAGAGGATGAAGAAGAAGAAGAAGAGGAAGAGGATGAAGAAGAAGATGAAGAAGAAGAGGATGAGGATAAAGAAGAAGAGGATGAGGATGAAGAAGAAGAGGATGAAGAAGAAGAAGAAGAGGATGAAGAAGAAGAGGATGAGGATGATGAAGAAGAAGAGGATGAGGATGAGAAGAAGAAGAGAGAGGATGATGAGGAAGAAGAGGAGGATGAGAAGAAGAGAGGATGAGGAAGAAGAGGAAGAGGATGAGGATGAAGAAGAGGATGATGAAGAAGAAGAGGACGAGGATGAAGAAGAGATGAAGAGAGGATGATGATGAAGAAGAAGAAGAAGAAGTAGGATGAAAATAAGAAGAATTCCAGTCCAGCAAAAAGTGTCTCTGCAGAGAGCTCCGCTATTTCTGACAGTTCTCTGACAGTTCCTTGACATTTACAGCGGTTGAAACATTGTATCTATTTGTTTCCGAATAAAAACATCTGTATCCTAAATGGAAACAAATAGATACAATGTTTCAACCGCTGTAAATGTGAAGGAACTGTCAAAGAACTGTCAGAAATAGCGGAGCTCTCTGCAGGGACACTTTTTGCCGGCTGTAGACGGGATGAAAATCGGCCGATTTTTTTTTTTACCATTGGTGGTAACGTCGGCCACTTGAACGACCGATTGTTCGTTTTTTTAAAAGAAAAATCGGCCGATTTTCGACCCATCTATGGCCTGCATAAGTCATTCTGTAAGAAGAAATGGTCTAAAAGTCCTCCAGGTGTGGAAATGTGAAAGACCAATCAACATCTACCAAAAACAGTTTTGCTATAAATGAACAGTATCCTATTGTATGACATAAGTGAAAACCCTTAACCTCCCTGGCGGTATTCCCGAGTGTAGCTCGGGGTAACATTTCAGTACCAAAAGCGGTAACCCCGAGCTACACTCGGGCTTACCCTGAGGCACTGCTCCGGCAAGTGTTTCTTCACTTACCTTACCGTGCGCTCCCACGATGTGTCCCCTGCACCGGCCATCTCCTCCGGCCGATGCCGGCATCCGGCTTCTGTGTCCTGTCCCTGTGACGTCGGGACGTACGGGCGCCGCAGCCGCGCGGCGGGAAAATTATAAAAATTTTAAAAATGTCATTTTTTTTTTTTTACATTTTACCTAGTAAAACATTGCTGTCTCAACCAATTTCACATACATATTGTCCCTAGTGCTTTGTCCTGCACCCTGCCTGCCTAATTTTGTCTGTTCTTTCTGCTGGAAACTGAGAAATGTCCATGGCGTCCAAAAAGTGTCCCTTTAGGTCAAAAAGCGGTTTAGATCAGCTAGAGAACAGCGATAGTAAATCAGAACCACTTGCAGAATTGAGTGATAATGATTCGTGGGGGAAATTCGTCGTCATCAGAAACTGAAAACGATTTTGCGACTGAGCTCAGCGATGTGCAAACTTGGCGCTATATTTATTTCACATTTCAAGTTTTGGTTTGATTATATTATTGAATTTATTTTTAATTATTTTTTATTAATTTATTAAATTATAATTTATGTTTGTGTTTCAAATTTTATCATACCCGGGATTGTTCGGACAGATTTCAGTGAGTTTTTCCTAAAAATTACAGCCTACAATAAAAAAAAAAAATACATATTTCCATGCAAAAAAATGGTACCGCTTTCAACCCGCATTTCAGCACCAAAAATCTGAAATAATCATACCCGCCAGGGAAAGCATTTCTGTATAAATATGCATATACAGTGATGTCAAAAAGTTTTTGCCTCCTTCCTAATTTTCTACTTTTTTGCATAATTTGTCACACTTAAATGATTCAGATCATCTAACAAATTTTAATATTACACAAAGATTACTCGAGTAAATACAAAATGTAGTTTTTAAATAATGATTTAATTTATTAAGGTAAAAAATTGCTAACTCATGAATGAACTGTGATTAACCACATTTTTTTGGAAAGATAAGTTAAATTTCACTTGCCACACCTAGATTATTGCCAGACCTGTTTAATCAAGAAATCACTTAACCACTTGGTAACCGCGCTATAGCCGAATGATGGCTACAGTGTGGTTACCCAGTTCTGGGAGGGTGTTATATGGGGGTTTATTTACTAAAGCTGGAGAGTCCAAAATCAGACTCCCTTCTGCATAGAAACCAATCAGCTTCTAACCTCAGCTTGTTCAATGAAGCTTTGGCAATGAAACCTGGAAGCTGATTGGTTTCTATGCAGAAGGGAGTCTGATTTTGGACTCTCCAGCTTTAGTAAATAAACCCCATGGTGTCACCCAGAACGTGCCCTCCTGCACGCCCCCACGGGCGCACACCTGGCGATTTCCGTGTGATGAGGTAAAAGGCCAATCACAGTGGCCTTTTACCACATGATCAACTGTGTTCAGTGACACAGCAGATCACTGAGTAAATACAGTTGCCGAGTATCGGGAGCACTTTCTTCACGCTGTCACAGCGTGAGGAAAGTACTGCCGATAACCGGCAACTGTCAGTGCCCTGCAGTACCACCCACCAGTGCCCAGCAGTGCCTCCCATCAGTGCCCACCAGTGCTGCCCAGCAGTGTCTCCAGTCAGTGCCATCAGTCAGCATCGCCCATCAGTGTCACCTATCAGCGCAGCATCATCAGTGCCTCCTCATCAATGCCCACCAGTGCCACCTCATCAGTGCAGCCTATCAGTGCTGCTTATCTGTGCCACCTCATCAGTGTTGCCTATCAGTGCCCATCAGTGCAGCCTCATCAACGCACATCTGTGAAGGAGAAATATTACCTGTTTGCAAAATTTTATATTAGAAACAGAAAAAACTTTTGTTTCACATTTTTTGCTATTTTTTTGTTTATAGCGCAAAAAATAAAACACCCAGTGGCAATTAAATACCACCAAAAGAAAGATCTATTTGTGTGAAAAAAATGATAAAAATTGCATATGGGTACAATGTTGCATGACCGTGCAATTGTCATTCAAAGCTCGACAGCACTGAAAGCTGAAAATTGGCCTGGGCACGAAGGGGGTATAAGTACCCAGTAGGCAAGCAAGTGGTTAAATAGAACGTCTGAAAAACTGAAGATCTCAAAAAGCAACTCATCATGCCACAATCTAAAGAAATCCAAGAACAGATGAGAAATAAAGTAATTGACATGTATCAGTCTGGAAAAGGTTACAAAGCCATTACTAAGGCTTTTGGACTCCAGTGAACCACGGTGAGAGCCATTATCCACAAATGGAGAAAACTTGGAACAGTGGTGAACCTTCCCAGGAGAAGCCAACCTACCAAAATTATTCCCAAGAGGACAACGACAACTCATCCAGTTTGTCATCAAAGAACCCAGAACAACATCTAAAGAACTGCAGGCCTCACTTGCCTCAGTTAAGGTCAGTGTTTATGATTCAACAATAAGAAAGAGACTGGGCAAAAATGGCATCCATGGGAGAATTCCAGGGTGAAAGCCACTATTGACCAAAAAGACCACAAAGGCTCATCTCACATTTGTTAAAAAACATCTTGATTATCCCCAAGACTTTTAGGCAAATATTCTGTGAATTGAAGAGACTAAAGTTGAACTTTTTAGATGGTGTGTGTCCCATTACATCTGGCATGAAACTAACACAGCATTTCATAAAAAGAACATCATGCCAACAGTCAAACATGGTGGTGGTAGTGTGATGGTCTGGGGCTGCTTTGCAGCTTCAGGACCTGGACGACTTGCCATAATTGATGTAACCATGAATTCTGCCCTCTACCAGAAAATCCTAAAGGAGAATATCTGGTCATCAGTTTGTGACCTCAAGTGCAAGGATACTTAGGTTATACAGCAGGAGAATGACCTGAAACACACCAGCAAGTCCACCTCTGAATAGTTAAAAAAAAAAATCTAAATTTAAGGTTCTGGAGTGGCCTAGTCAAAGTCCAGACTTAAATCCAAATGAGATGCTGTGCAATGACTGGGCCATTCATGCTCAAACAATCCAATGTGACTGAATTAAAGTGGTAGTAAACCCACTATGTTAATTTTTATCTACAGGTAAGTCTATACGAAAATTTACATGTAGGTAAAATGAATATCTTGTGAATGTGCACCGTTTAGGAGATATTCGGGGGGGGTTGGGTTTTTTTTACTCATACTTGTGCCGTTCCTTCAGAGCACTGTGCCGTGGCCCATTACTCCTGTGCTCATGCATGGGAGTGATATCATTGTGGCTCAGCAGGTCAGATGACCAGAGCTTGTGAAAAGGAAGACCGGGTAAAGAAGGAAGCCCTGTCAGCGGTGACAAATCTCCGCTAGAGGGCTTCGTTTTAAGGCATGTTTTACATAATGTGCTAGTATGTGATGCATACTAGCACATTATGCCATTGCCTTGCAGGGAATGTCTGTTTTTTTTTTTTTTGTTTTGTTTTTTTGTTTTTTGATGCAGTTTACTACCCCTTTAAAACAATTCTGCAAAGAAGAATGGGCCAAAAATGAACTCATCATTTAAAAACTGCATTTTGTATTTACTCAGGTTTTCTTTGTGCAATATTAACCACCCTGGCAGTCTAATTAGGTCAATATTTTTCAATGTCAAAGCGGCACATTGTTTTGCATGGAAATTTGTTGTTTTATATTGTAGGCCTGTAATTCTTAGGAATAACCCACTGAAATCTGTCCAAACAAGAGTCTAGTAAACATCTCTGGTATGATAAAGTTTAAAACACGAAATCATAAATTATAATATAATAAATAATTAGAAAAAATAATAATAATAAATTTAATTAAAAAAATGTAATTAAACCAAAAACACTGAAATTTGAAATAGAGCACCAAGTTTGCACATCACTGAGCTCAGTCGCAGAATTGTCGCTGTCGTCACTTTCAGTGTCTGATGACGAATTTCCTCACGAATCATCATCACTCAATTCTGCAAGTGATTTTAATTCACTATCGCTGTTTTCTAGCTGGTTTAAAACCGATTTTGACCTAAAGGGACGCTTTTTGGATGCCATGGACGTTCTCAAGTTTCCAGGCAGAAAGAACGGTAAAAGTGCAGGCAGGGCGCAGGACAAAGCACTCGGGACAAAATTTAGGTGAAATGGTTTGATACAGTAATGTAATACTAACAGATTACAATGTATTGTGTGTATGTCATGTTTTTACTTTTTTGAATCTCTCGCCGGTCCCGCCCCCCTGTGTCACGACGCTCGTAGGGAAGGAAACCCGGAAGATGGATGCCGGCATCGGCCGGAGGACATCGGGGGATCGCAGGACAAGGTAAATTACACTACAGTATAATTCCGAGTGTGGCTTGGGGTTACCTCTTTTGGTACTGAAAATTAACCCCGAGCCACACTCAGGATTACCGCTAGGAAGGTTAACATTTGTTTGATGATCTAAATAATTTAAATGTGACAAATAATTAGAAAATCAGCAAGGGGGAAAATATTTTTCACAGTACTGAATGCTGCCCCTTTTAATTGGTTTTTAAAAAAGTCACCCTGATGTACATAAGTGAAGATATCTGATATGAAATAGGCTTTGAACACCTGTGACTCTCCAGCCATTGTGTCACTACCACCATCATGCTCTGCCATAACTGTTCCTGATCAGTCTACTGTTCAGCTCAGCCTTCTGTGTCGGCTAAATGCTTCAGTAACTAGACGACGTAAGTCTGTTGCAGACCTGGGGATAGCACCTCATCTTCCCTCACCCACATTAATAAGCCCACCAGACCTCTCCCTCCCAAAAGAAGTACTTGTTCCTACCCGCTCCATTGTGTCTTACAGGTGCTGTGTCTGTTAATGTGGTGACCCAGAATTCTACTACTTCCTTTAGCGATCAGTCATCTTTTCCCCTCTGGTTGCTTTCATGTGTGGTACAGACAGCTGCTATTTTGCCCACTAACTCTTCACCTGTCTTTTCACTGCCACTTCTTAATGAATAGAAATTTTTATTTTTACTTTGTTTTAGTCTTTGTACATCAGATGGGTTGGTAGCTAATCTTCATGTCAACATATGTCAGTCTTCATCTGGTAGTACACTTCAATGAACATATTTTATTTAAATGAGCACTTAATTTGGGTATGAACATTTTTCATTAAAAGGGACATACTTAGCGTTTTTCATCCTGGCATTGACTGTAAACATCTGCTTGTTATCATGCTCTCTGAACCAATGCAATACTTTTAAAAACAGGTCTATCTGTTGTGATATGGGGTGATTGGACTCAATGTGGTGGCAAGCGTGTTGAGTGAGTCCACGTCAGTCCGAACTTCAGTTTCAGGGCATGACAGTCCAATTTTATTGGACAAAAGCAAAATTACTAAACACAGATTTCCCACACAGTGGAATTAGCTTCTCACAGTAATAGTCTACTGAAAATACAGAGCCACCTGGCTCTCTTGTCAGCAACACCTCCGCTCTCTTTGGTCAATAGCCTATGGTCCAAGACCATAGGCTATTGACCTGAGGTCCACTCTTGGCCTCTTGATAGGGTTTTTCATTCCCTCAAGCTTGCTTCTCTTGAGTCTAGATTCCCTCTAGCCCCCTCAACTTTCTCGGCCTCCCAGACCCGCCTAGCTGCAGGTAAGGGAATCTCTTCAACATGTCTCCTTAGTAGGTCACTTCTCCTGGCTGGAGCACATATGCATCCTCACACACTGGCTGTGTTTCTGAATGGCAGCAACTGCCCTGTGCTATCCTCAAGCTTTCGTTATGATGGCTGTGTGCACCTGGACACATACCCTGCTGGTCTTCAACAAACCTTGGACACTGGGTTGGAGATTTCTTCCTTCCCATGACACTTAGACATCTCCAAACTACACAGCGCAATCAGGGAATACCAAAATCCAGAGAAAACTGTTTTGATTGCTCAAAATAGATACTTTGGAGTTCTGCACTCTGCACATGTGCTATGACCCATGTCTGTTGACCAACCATTTTCCCAGTGGCAGGGCCTCGCACTGATTTTAAACTCTACCTTCTGTTTGAGCCAATTTCGGCCTTGTCAATATACACTGCAGCAATGTATATAAAGTTGTGTTATACAGAATCACAGACCCAAAAGCATCATAAGCAGCTCCAAACTTGGGGACTTTTTGACTAAAAAGGAAACAAGGAAAAAAGTTCTGAGTCACTCCAGTAGTCGCTTACACAGTCTTGCTCACCAGGGGTGGACTGACAACTTATGGGGCCCCCGGGCAATAAGGGATCATGGGGCCCCTGTGTCCTCGTCCACACCCAAAAAAGCCTATGAAAAAGCCAATGAAAGGTACTAGGGGCATCTCATGGGGCCCCCTACTGACCCCGGGCCCTCGGACAGTGCCCGAGTGCTCGAATGGTCAGTCTGCCCCTGCTGCTCACCCATGTGACAGCGCTTGGCCAATTATCAACATTAACACTGCCACCTAAGAGGAAAGAGAGTGAAACACATACTCTCTTATATTTTTTGCTACCAGATGCTGAACAGAGGAGTGTAGGAAAGGTGGGTATACCCATTGTAGATAAAAGTGCACATTTTATCCTATAATTTGTCCTCTTTATATTGGCACTGCAATGACATTTCCAAACAAAGCATGGCAAAGTTATGGAATAAAGCTGCTTTTTTTCCACCTGAAATTTCTACTTTTTTCAACAACACTACAAAAATCAAACAAAAAGTTTTAAATATTAATGGTAAAAAAAAAAGTAATAAACTAAAAAAATTTTTACAGAAAAATAATAGCTAAGGGGAGAAATAAGAAGATAATTGGAGCTGATTAGGGTCAACTAAGGGTTTAAATAGGAACATATTTTACCTAAAAAATGTTTTACTTGTAAGGTTGCATTAATTTGCAGACCAAAGGCAATGCCTTTGATCTATATAAACTGTAAATTAAACTGAGGAAATACAATGTATGGAGCATGTTTCTTCTACCCATAACAGTCTCAGTTCCCATAAAGCAAACAGGCCTACTGGTACTTGGTTGCCCCCAGATCTTAATACAAAGCGCTATAGTCCCTTCACAGGGGCTGCTATAGTCCCATAGCAGCCCCTGTTCCCATAAAGCAAACAAACCTACTGGTACTTGGTTGCCCCCAGGTCCTAATACAAAGTGCTATAGTCCCATCACAGGGGCTGCTATAGTCCCATAGCTTTTATTTTTGGACACGCACCGTATTTTTCGCTCCATAAGACACACCTGACCATAAGACGCACCTAGATTTTAGAGGAGAAAAAACAAGAAAAAAAATATTCTGAACCAATGGACTGCAGACACAGTACAGGAGATGACCAGAGACTGCGGACGCAGTACAGGAGATGACCAGAGACTGCGGACACAGTACAGGAGATGACCAGAGACTGCAGACACAGTACAGGAGATGACCAGAGACTGCAGACAGTACAGGAGATGACCAGAGACTGCGGACACAGTACAGGAGATGACCAGAGACTGCGGACACAGTACAGGAGATGACCAGAGACTGCAGACAGTACAGGGGATGAACAAGAGACTGCAGACAGTACAGGAGATGACCAAGAGACTGCAGACAGTACAGGAGATGACCAGAGACTGCAGACAGTACAGGGGATGACCAGAGACTGCAGACAGTACAGGAGATGACCAAGAGACTGCCGACAGTACAGGAGATGACCAGAGACTGCAGACAGTACAAGGGAAGACCAAGAGACTGCAGACAGTACAGGAGATGACCAGAGACTGCAGACAGTACAAGGGATGACCAGAGACTGCAGACAGTACAGGGGATGACCAGAGACTGCAGACAGTACAGGAGTTGACCAAGAGAATGCCGACAGTACAGGAGATGACCAGAGACTGCAGACAGTACAGGGGATGACCAGAGACTGCAGATAGTACAGGGGATGACCAGAGACTGCAGACAGTACAGGGAATGACCAAGAGACTGCAGACAGTACAGGAGATGACCAGAGACTGCAGACAGTACAGAGGATGACCAGAGACTGCAGACAGTACAGAGGATGATCAGAGACTGCAGACAGTACAGGAGATGATCAGAGACTGCAGACAGTACAGGAGATGACCAGAGACTGTGGACCTTTGGGGAGGGAGGGGTAGCGGGTACCTGAATTTGACAGGTACCCGCTCCCACTTCCGCGGATTTGTCCTCTCTTTAGTGTGGGAACCCGGCTGTGACAGCCGTGTGCCCACTGCGCATGCGCGAGAAGCACTGAGCTTTGTGAATGTCCCGGCGTCTTCTGGGACACATAACAGGCCATTCACAAAGCGCAGCGCTTCTTGCACATGCGCAGTGGGCACCCGACTGTCACAGCCGGGTTCCCACACTAAAGATGCCAGCGCGGGAAGACTGTACAGCGCTGGACCGAAGAACAGGTAAGGTCCTGCTGCAGAGAAGAGCTGAGCGGCCGGCCCGGTATTCTGACATGGTGTCGACTGCGGGAAATACCGGACCGGCCGGTGTGTCTTATGGAGCGAAAAAAATGGTATATACTTTTTGATATAATTTTTGGGTTATTGTATGATATTTCACTTTTTTTCACAGTTAATATTTGTATGATACATTTCTGCATATTGGGGTATTTTTAAGATAATTTACACTTTAAAAAGTGAAAGTTAGACCTTTTATGCTAGAGGGCTTAATATATATATATTTTTTATGATTTTCGTTTTGGATACTGTAGTTCTAGATATATAGGGGTCATACACAGTCCGGCAGAAGAATGCAAAATTGCCAGGCGAAACCATAGTCAAGAAATTAGGTTGAAGTCCAAAATCAGCAGTAGTTCACACCGGAAAGCACACACCCAGGGAACAAATCCACACAAATGGGCTCAGAGCACAGGAATTCTAGCTATTTAACCCCCCTTTCACATCAAGCCCGATTTTGAAATCGTGTGACTTACAGTGACTTTCCGATTTCAAGTGCGATTTGCAAGACATCTGACACAGCTTTCTATGCAAATCGCACCAAAGTAGTGCATGTACTACTTTAGAAATCGGTGCGGCTTCGACCAAGTCGGAACCACACCGATATGACTTCTCTAATAGCGGACAATAGGGTGCGACTTGGCATACGATGTAAATGTAAATCGCATGCCAAGTCACACCCAATGTGACTGAGGTGTAAAGGATGAGCTTATTGCAGATTGACTGCAGCTGGTGGAACGAGTCCAAGGGGCAGAAGCACTAAGCAGAGTACATGCTGCAGAGACTCAGATTTTCCTGTAAAAGTGAGTAAATAGAAGTGCAGCACCAAAACCAGAAGGACCCAGGTTCAAACCCACCCAGACACATGACAGAGAGAGAGAGAGTATTCAAGGGACATGCCAAGGTCAGGGCTGCCAGCAGGCAAAGGGTAATCCACGGACAAGCCAAGGGCAGAATCCAGAGTAGTAGAGACATGGTACAGGATCAGGGTACATATACAGAAACAGCAAATGGTACTTGGACAGGATCGGGAACACAGGTCACAGAGTAAGGTGCTGTTGAAGACAAAAATTTGGCTTTTCTAAAGAAAATTCATTCGGAATTCACCCCATGTATGGCCTGCATTAGACATTAGGAACTACTTCCAGATACTGCCTGCAGGCTTTTTTGACTGCATCAATGCGCGCCAACGGGACCCAACATTTAGCCAGCTGAAGAGTCAGGACTAAAGACTGCCCCTAACAGTTGCTGCCCTTAGGCCTTGTCCCTTTTATTTCGATAAAAAGGTACCTCTGAAGAGTCACTGTATCCCAGCCAATCCCTTAGAGTGCAGTCTGATCTAGTGTAGTGTTTATCTTCATTTATACTGTATTTAACATTTATTAATATTGTTTAAAGCTGATTTACTAACATACTATTTTAATTCTAGTTAGTGGTATATAAAACATATTTTATCAATTGGGCATAGCTATTACTCTGTCTAGCAGATTGTGTCATAATCTATCTGCTGTGTGCTCATTTATGTTCAATTTGCCATTTATTCTAGCCTGTATCAATAGATTAAGAGCATTTCCACTAAACAGGCGTGAGTTTATTTACTGGTAGTAACCCACAGCCAGGGTAAAGGTATTTTACACTTGTGTCTTTACTAGTGCTTCCAGTGTATTTTATTCGACCCGGGGCTGAAGTTGTTCTTGGAGTCGAGGTATAGAAGAGAGAACTGAAAGGTACCAAGTGGCTCCTTTGGGGGTAGCGCTACATTATTTTGTGGTTTATTTGAGGTCAACAGTCACTTTTAGTTGCTGCCCCCTACATAGCAAAGGCTTACCTTTAAAATTAAGCATTTGTTTCAGGGAGGGAACTTTGGAGTTTATTTCTTTTGTGGGTTTTTTTTTAAATTTTATGTTGATAATGGACTTTTTTCGTTCAAAGATTTTATTCATGTTTGAATAACAATTGGCATTGAGTTGAAAGATACACACATGTAGACCTGTGTCCAAGTCTCATAAATTTGGAGGAAGTCAAACATGCCATACTGGTACATCATAATTGTAAAAACATCCGATATGTCCAGGTGACCACCAAATCAAGCTTATCACAACCTTGAGTACAGATACAAGTTTCATGTAAAGTGTACTTTCTTAAGTCTACTATTGATAGAGAAAATTATACAAGTTCAAGTTTCTAATTAGAGAGCCTAAGAAAAGGAAAGAGTGGGAGAATCAGAATGATACATAAGCAGCTAAAGAAATTAAACTGCCAGAGATGAGAACTGACTCTAAGAGGAACTAAAGGTCTAAAAGTTGATCCAGCCCGGATTTGCTTTGTCCCACAGAGAGCTACCTGGGATGGGATTTTCTAGCCTTACACTGTAAAGGATGGGAGGAAAATGCACTTCCCAAGTGCGATGATAGACTATGCCCAGACCAGATTGGAGGAAAACCACAATACATCTCAAGGAGAATATCTTGGGGTGGAGATTCCTTGCCTTATCTCATGAGAACTACTGAGTGTCAAGACCTTGGGAGAGGTGGACTCCCTAGCTTAGAGAAGTGAATGAAAAACAGCAACAACAGATAGGCCTCTAAAGCTGGCCACACATAATGAGTTCATTTTTTTCAGTTTCGGTTCAGCCAGCTGAACCAAAAAAAAACACATTCCTTCATCCACACAAACAAGAAGGAAAGCTGTGAATTCCCACATATGAATGCTAGCCGGATGTTTGCCAGCTGTATGAAGCCCCCCTCCCCCAACGCTGTAAACAGTGATAGAGTGACTGGAGGAGCGGGCTGTGCTTTCTGTGCCTGCTCTCCTCAGCTCTCTCCCTTCATCGTGCTCTGCTAGGAATCAGAGTGGCTGTGTAAAATCCTCTTTGCTCCTGCTCCCCCCCTCCCTTTGGACAATGGCAGCTTGTGGGGCAAGTGATGATGCAGCCACTCTAGACTCTGGAAAATGTAGTCCTCAAGGGAAGTGAATGGAACCTTGGACTTCAATATCCAGATATCCTGCACACCCAAAAGAGGAAAGAGCATGACTTTTTCCAGAGCAAATCTGCAGAAATCTGAGCTGTGCAATATTGGAAATGAAAGAGTGCAGACCTGTTGCTGTCTGGGTATGTGCTCCCACAGAGAGAAAGGACTTGTGAGAGCTGGGCTAGAGCTACCGAGGACCATCATAAGAGCTGGATTCCTAAATGCTGGGCCAGAGCTGTGCAGACTTTGAACGTGTGTCCACCTACAACAGAGCTGAGAGACTGAGCCACAGAGAGTCACTGTGCCATGGAACCAGAGCTGGGAGACCTCTTGCTGTGTGTGTTTACAGCCAGTGTGGACCTGATCATGAGAACTGAAACTTCTGGGACAACCAAATACCAAATGTATAGGACTAGATCGATGCATATCAGGAGTGTTGAACGAAACATCCCAGTTTGATTCCTTACTGTCCTCATTGAATGCCCCTTACTTAACAGCCCACCCGCGATCCCTTGTGTACAGCTTTAAAGGGACAGCTTCATGTGCACCACATTACAGATGGGCCCCAGTGTTAGCCAGCTTAAATCTGTTATTAAGGCGCCAGGAACTTTATAGCCATCTCCAGGGGTACCCCTTGTCAGGAACACATGCATACACTCACCTACTATTATGGCTGTATGCACTTGAGGACATGTCTTTGGGTTAGGTAATGTTTTTATTTTTCCCATTATGTATACCAGCTGAAATTTGCTTTAACTTTATGGCATTAAGTTAAACCACAAAAGCCTAAAACAAAAGTAATACATTATAAGATCACTAGAAGGTACCAGGGTCTCCCCTTCCTCCACTGAAAAGTTTGAAGAAAACATCCTCTTCAAATTTAACATCTTCCTCCAGTAAAAGTATAGCTTTGGATAGATTTTTCAGCTTTGGATAGAGTGGAGGTGGATTAGAACACCTCTTAAGTGTTTATTCACCCTCTCTATTTGTCTTCTTTACCATTATCACCAAATGTGAAAGTAAAAGAAAACCCCAAATTTTGGGTTGTCCCCAGAAAGGTTATACAGGGGAACTTTTCCGATAGGGACGCTAGTTCTGGTGACCTGGAGGTTCCCAAGGAATTCCCTTAATTTGCATAGACTTTCTTTCACTTCCTGTTTTGGCTATGGGACAGGAAGTGAAGGTAAATCTCCCTAATAGGACATGGATGGCAAAAAATAAACTGACAGGGGTTATAACCATCCCTTACTCTATCCAAAATGAAAAACGCATTTTTGTCTACAGTTTTACTCTAAATTGACCATACACTATTAAATTCCTAATTTCAGTTAGTATGACCTTTCGTACAAATATTCTGCCCAGTACACTTGGTGACTTACCGAATGTCATTTGAAAGTACTTTAAAAAACATTTGCTTTTAACATTTTATTTTGAATTGAATGAAAAAAAAAAAACCGCACAGTTGCTGTTAGAAATTTGTTCAGAATAAATTTCAATCTTACTCCATTGGATTTTCTCATCACTGCAGTTGAAAACAAACCTTGATTTGACTCCACAAACAATTAGAAATCAAAATTTTTGAATTAAATTCTACTAATGCATGGCCAGCTTAACCACCTAGACTATGTTCAAACATTTTGCAGTGTATTTGCAGATGTGCAGAAACACACTCTAGTCTATTAGTTCCTATGCCTGACGTTCACATCTATGCAGTTTTCACCAGTATGGATTTTGGAAACATG